TCCTCCTCCTCCTCCTCCTCCTCCTCCTCCTCCTCCTCTTCCTCCATCCTCCTCCCTCCTCCTCCTCGCCTCCTCCTCCTCCTCCTCCTCCTCCTCCTCCTCCTCCTCCTCCTCCTCCTCCTCCCCTACCTCCTCCTCCCTCCCTCCCTCCCTCCCTCCTCCCTCCTCCCTCGTCCCCCTCCCCCTCCCCCTCCCCACCCTGCTTCCGATGCATTCCCAAGCCCCTGCAAACGGGGCGTTAGTAAACGGACCCGCAGCATAGGGTGCGTTTTCACTGGTGCTTTCAAGAAGCTGATGTGCCGCGCACAGGTGCGAGGTAATCGCCCCCGCCCAGAGTTATGATGGTGCATCGACTTGTGCCGTCCCGATTTCCACTCGTGCGAGGTACATGCCTTGTCGCCTCGTCCTCGCTTGAAAATGCCCCTTAGATACCACCCCGTTTACCCGTTTACTAACGCCCCGTTTGCAGGGGCCTCCGATGCAATGCTGGTTGGCATCGCCGGCGGGGCAAAGACTGCCCGCCAGTCGACAGGTCGACGCAGTCGCAGCGCAGCCCGCCAACATCAATCCGCCGTCCACGAGAAGCCACACAGAGGCTGCAGGATCTTCGGCATGGGCCTTCGACATGATTAGACCGCTGTGCCACTGGGGAGGTGGTGCGGCGGTCATCGTGGTCATCATCGGTGCGTGGCCCCTGGACTCCAGAGCCTCCCGAGACCCCCTCTGTTGTATAAAGAACTGCGTGTAGGATCCTGTCCATCCACCGCTCTGCGCGGATGCCCCGCCCGGAGCGCAGCCGCGAGGGCGTGGCTGTGGGGAGTGCCCCGTCGCCCGCGGGAAGGGGCGCAGCTGCCCAAGGACGTCCCTCTGGCGAAGCGGCTCTCCACGGGTGGAGGGTTTCTCCGGAGGACTTAGGCGACCCGTCCTCCTCCTCCTCCCCCTGCTCCTCCTCCCCCTCCTCCCCCCCCTCCTCCTCCTCCTCCACCTCCTTCTCCTCCTCCTCCCCCTCCTCCCCCTCCTCCTCCTCCTCCCTCCTCCTCCCCCCTCCTCCTCCCCCTCCTCCACCTCCTCCTCCTCCTCTCCTCCTCCTCCACCTCCTTCTCCTCCTCCTCCCCCTCCTCTCCCCTCCTCCTACCCCTCCTCCTCCCCCTCCTCCTACCGTCCTCCTCCTCCTCCTTCCTCCTCCTCCTCCTCCACTCCTCCTCCCCCTCCTCCTCCTCCTCCACCTCCTCCTCCTCCTCCTCCACCTCCTCCTCCCTCTCCTCCTCCTCCTCCTCCTCTCCTCCCCTCCTCCTCCTCCTCCTCCTCCTCCTCCTCCTCCTCCTCCTCCCCCCCCCTCCTCCTCCTCCCCCTCCTCCTCCTCTTCCCCCTCCTCCTCTTCCTGCTCCTCCTCCTCCTCCTCCTCCTCCTTCCGTAGCCATTTTGGCTCAAGTCCGTCCCTTCCGTTGGATCTCCGACGTGGGCCGAAATGAGTTCCACAGCTGTTTCGCCCAAGGCCCCCTGGCCGGGCGCCGAGCCGCCCGCTGGCAGTGCCCGCGGCTCCATATGTCCATGCTCGGGCACGCGCGGGTGATCCCGACCGTGCTGCTGGTGCTGTCCCTGCCGCTGCTGGCGCTGGTGCAGATGCCACATACTCGATCCGAGGCGGCCCGTCACTTGCGCCGCTGCCGGTTCATGCAATAGCACGAACTCTGGCACCCCCTCGGTCCACAAGTTCTGCGTCTACATCTTCTGCTCCCTGGACCCGCTGCGGCTGCGCGTCCAGCTCCTCTATTTGCTGCTGACGGACGGGCGGTTGACAGTCCCATGGCGGATGAAGTGCGAGCGGCTCGACATCCTGACATCGTTGCAGTGCTAGCTCGCGCCACTGCAGACCTCGCTCGCTGTTTCTGCCTGCGTGCAGCTGCTCGCACCCCGCTCTGCCCAGTTGGCGTGTGCGACGGGTCGCAGGTCCAGCAGGTCGCAGCGTTCATCCAATGGCTTCGGACGCCCGCTGGACCTGGCGCTGCGGATGTTGGTGAAGACCCTTATGCTCAAGATGCTGGCAACGCACAGACTTACGAGCGCGCCCAACGTGATGCTGGTGATGACCTCGCCGCTCACGCTGCTGGCAATGCACGTGCTGACCAACATGACCCTGGTGCAATTCGCGCCGCTGCAGCCCAACGTGATGCTGGTGATGACCTCGCCGCTCAAGCTGCTGGCAATGCACATGCTGACCAACGTCGGATGCGTGAAGTTCTCGCCGCTGAAGCCCAATGTGATGCTGGTGATACCCTCGCCGCTCAAGCCGCTGGCACTGCACATGCTGACCAACGTTCCTCTGGTGAAGACCTCGCCTCTGACGCCCAACGTGATGCTGGTGATGACCTCGCCGCTCGAGCTGCTGCCGATGCATATGATGACCAACGTGCTACTGGTGATGTTCTCGCTGCTGATGTCCTTTTGCTCGTTCCTGAAGCCGCTGCAGCCGACGCTGCACAGCTCGGAGAACCTACTGTCGCCGAGCGCCGCCGGGTCTACCTCCTGGCTGACACGTGGCAGATCGGCACACGACGTACTCGGATGCCGAGAAGATCTTGCATCACGAGCCCGATTGGGCCCTCGTGGTGGACGTGCGGCGCCGCCTGTTCTTCGACACGTTCATCCGCCAGCTTGGGCTAAATCCTGACAGTGTTTCTGACGCCGCCTCGCGTGGCGTTCTTCCCGAACAGGATCGTCCTGACAACGAAGGTGGAGCCGTTGCTGCTGCCCGCGCCCTTCCCGAAGAAGCTCAACATGACTGGGCTGTTCCTAGCGTTCCGTGTCTTCGGCGTTCCGACTTTCTTCAACTTCGCTGCTGCAGCACGGCTCTCGCTGATCTGGCAGAAGATCTGGTGGATCCAGAAGACGGTCTGCATGACGCTGCTCGCGCCGTCATGCCGCCTGGAGCGGCTGTCGCTGAACCTTTTGCATGATGATGCTAACGCCGCTCGGCCGCCTCGCGTGGCTGATGATGCACATGAGGCCCCCGTGGCCGCCCGTCAACGTAGCCCTGCGCCCCCCACTTGGCATACTTCTCTCTGCCCTTCGTCCCCCGCCCTTCCCACCATCCCTGCGTTTCCCTCGTTCCCGAATGCAGCTCATGACTTACATCCCTCCGCTCACCGTGTATGGCCACATGCTGGCGGCCAAAGCGTGGAGCGTACAAAGTGCATCCTGAGGTAGGCGTAGCGGCAACAGGCGGGGAGCGCGACGAACGTTTGCCCTCTTCTCGCGCATTGCCCGCTTGCCCTCGTCTCGCCTCTATTTGAGTACGTGCACTCCTGCTCCTCCTCCTCCTCCTCCTCCTCCTCCTCCTCCTCCTCCTCCTCCTCCTCCTCCTCCTCCTCCCTCCTCCTCCCTCCTCCTCCTCCTCCTCCTCCTCCTCCTCCTCCTCCTCCTCCCTCCTCTCCTCTCCTCCTCCTCCTCCTCCTCCTCCTCCTCCTCCTCCTCCTCCTCCTCCGCCTCCTCCTCCTCCTCCTCCTCCTCCTCCCTCCCTCCCTCCCTCCTCCTTCCTCCTCCTCCCTCCTCCCTCCTCCTCCCCCTCCTCTCCTCCTCCCTCCTCCTTCTCCCTCATCCCTCCGTCCTCCTCCTCCTCAATCATCATTCATCATCATCATCAATCATCATCATCATCACATCATCATCATCATCATCATCATCATCATCATCATCATCATCATCTCCCCCCCTCCTCCTCCTCCTCCTCCTCCTCCTCCTCCTCCTTCCTCCTCCTCCTCCTCCTCCTCCTCCTCCTCCTCCTCCTGCTCCTCCCCCTCCTCCCCCATTCTTTCTCGTTCTAAATGTTTTCTCCCTGTCGCACCCCGAGGCCAGTTTTGAGAGCGGGCCGGGCGTTTTGCCTGAGACGTCCTCACCGGTTATGTTTCTGAACCTTAAAAAGTGGCAACAGCTTCACAGATGGAAGGCGGGTGGTTTTCAACATGGGGCTCTCGCCTTAACGCCGCGCACACTCTTTTACAACATTGCCAGAGGTTCACGGGTTGAGGGCGGTTCCTTTTCAAAATGTGGTTCTCGCCGTACCGCCGCGTACATTCGTTTTCGAAAGTTTGCAAGAGCTATTCGGATTGTTGGTGGGTGGTTTTCAAATGTGGTTCTCGTCCTAGCGCCGCGCACATTCGTTCATACAAATTGGAAGAGTTTCACGGGTTCCCATGGTCATACCAGAAAAAATGTGTTGGAAGGATTCATGATTATGCGGGTGCAACAGTTATGTTGGTTCGCGGTGTTGAAGTCCAAAAAATGGCCTTCTGGCACGATTCAAGATCGTCAAGACGCAGGAGTCAGGTTGATCCGTGGCGTTGAAATCCCGAGAACCATGTTGTTGCATATGTCTGAGTCTTCAAACGGTTGTCTTCCAGCGAGTCTGTTCCCTCGATGGAAATGAGCCGCTGTAGGGGCCTATGAAGAGGGAGTTTGGAGGAATGGTTTATTCCAACATCGTTCATAATTCTTGGGTTTACCCTGGTCCTCCTCCTCATCATCATCATCATCATCATTTCTCCTCCTCCCCCTCCCCCCTCCCCTTCCTCCTCCTCTTCCATATCCTCCTCCATCTCCTCCTCCCCCTCCATCACCTCCTCCTACTCCTCCTCCTCCTCCTTTCTCCTTTTCCCTCCTTTCTCCCCCTCCTCCTCCTCTTCCATTTCCTCCTCCATCTCCTCCTCCCCCTCCTCCTCCCACCTCCCCTCCTCCCTTCTCCTCCTCCTCCTCCTCCTCCTCCTCCTCCTCCTCCTCTCTCCTCCTCCTCTCTCCTCCTCCTCCTCCTCTTCCTCCTCCTCCTCCTACTACTACTACTACTACTACTACTACTACTACTACTACTACTACTACTACTACTACTACTACTACCCCTACTCCTACTCCTACTCCTATTCCTACTCCTACTCCTACTCCCCCTCGGGTCGCCTTCGGCCCCGGGGGAAACCGTGCAACCGTGGGAAGGGGTGCAGCGGCTCGAGGACCTCCCTCTGGTGAAGCAGCTCTCCACGGGGACGGAGTCAGTGAGGCCCACGGAGCAGCCGGCCCAGCCTCCAGACGAGTCCGCCGACCTGCCCCCGCGGCCCCCCAGCGGGCCCGCCCACCTCGCCCACCAGAGCGGGACCGACAGCAAGCTCACCACGGAGCGGCTGACCCAGCCTCCAGACGAGTCCGCCGACCTGCCCCCGCGGTCTCCCGGCGGGCCCGCCGACCAGCGCGGAGTCAACAGCAAGATCACGTCCATCACCAGCTGGGCTCCGGGTCAATGCGAAGCTTGGCGTCGCTCGGACGTGTGCATTGCTTCCGGCGGGGACCATCGAGGAGCATCCTGGATCATCGAAGCCAAAAAATGCACGCTCGAAGCCAAAAAATGAACGGGGAATGGACGCCCGAGCGATGGCAAGCACGGGGGGGTAGGCGCTGGGGGGGGGATAGGGAAAGGGGGGGTGCGAAATCTGCTGCATGCAGCTGGTTTCGGCCCCGCCGCCGAGCCCATTAGGCGCTTGGAAAATCAGCTGCGTGAGCCGATTCTCTACCACACCCTTTGCTATCCCTCCCTTTTTAGTTCCCACCGAGGAGGGTTCACATTGTTCATTTCTAAGTATTCGAAAGTTACTTGATTCTCTGGGGGGGGCCAAGATCCTTTCGCTTCTAAGTGTGCTATCCTGGACCTCTTCCTGGCCACCAGGGGGCCAGGAACAGTTGGAAACGAGCACATTTAGAAATGAGCACGATTAGAAATGAGCGACGTGTATCCCACCCTTTGATATCCCCCCCTTTGGTTCCCCCCGAGGGGGGTAGGCGCTGGGGGGGGGGATGCATCGCCCCCCAGTCGCCCACTCGTCGGCGATAGGTGGCCTGGTGGGCCGCCCCGCCCGGAAGCGTGCGGTTTCGCCATCGGGGGGCCCACCACCCATCCATCAAGCAGCGGCGAAGCGTCCTGGCGTGCTTATACACACTGCTCACTCCCAAGTATTCGAAAGCTCCTTGGCTTTTCCGGGGCTGTGCTGTCCTGGACCTCTTCCGGGCCACTGGGGGGCCAGGAACAAATAGAAACGAGCGCAACGTGAAACGAGCACGATTAGAAATTGACGACGTGTAGGCCTACCAAACGATGTTCTAAGAACCGTTTTGCGGTTTCCACGAAATGTTCTTAGAACATTTCTGGCTGGGGCTGTCTCGTTTTGACACGTCAGGCTTATGCTCTAAGAACCGTGTTTTTGTTATCCGAACATTCTTGGGTTCTCAGGACATTTCGTGGTAGGCCTAGGAATGCCGGGACGGTCGGTCCCTGCTCAAATCCATCGGCGGTGTGTCGCCGATTGCAGACCGATGCTTCCCTCCTGAAGCTTAAATCGGGCCTGTCCCCCTACAGGAGGAAAATTCAAAAATAGGCAAAAATAGTATGGGGACGATGTTTCTAGTATGTTTTAATATGTTTAGAATCTGTTTGTTCGTCCAAAATCCGCCTGCAGGGCGACACGCCCGACTTAACCTTGAGCTGGTCCCCCCCCCCCAAACGTGGCCCCAACAGGCGTCCAAGGGAAGGGGCGCGTCTTTCAGCAGCTCGCACCAGAGCTCCAAGCAGACGCACTCCTGGTCGCCGACGCCCAATTCGACGAGCGTGCGGAGCATGAAGAGCAAGCATGACGGGGTCTTCCAGGCCGCGGCGGCGCAGAGGGCCAAGCAGAGTCCGAAGGAGTCCTGGCGCCAGAACGGGGTCTTCTCGAGCCCCACGAACGCCATGAGCTCCTCGTTCGAGATCTTCTTCGGATGCGTGATCGGGACCAACGCGCTCTTGAGTGGGGTGGAGGTCCAGTACAGGAGCACCCACTTGGGAGAAGGGCTCCCAGCCAGCTTCGTGATCGTGCGCCACGTGTACACCGTGCTCTTCCTGGCAGAGCTGACGGCACGCGTGTGCCGGCACGGCCTCTCCGACTTCTTCCTGAGGGGGGACGTCTTCTGGGCGTGGACGGACACGCTGGTGGTGGTCATAGGTCGGGCGATCGCAAACGTGGATCCAAGGGGGCGTGGATAAGCGACGGGTCCCGCTTCCATGGGAAATCGCAGACTTCCGCCGCCGAACGAGGCGGCACTGGCCGCATTTTGGGGAGGGCACCTCCTCCGATCCATGGACGTGGCGACCGCGCGCCAAATCCATGGATCGGTCATCCATGGTTGCACGCCCCCGAACAGGGCTGCTCGAGCTTGGCGTGGACACGGTTGCCCTTACGACCGACCAGAGCAAGGAGCCGCCGCGAGCCGAACGGGTCCTGAGCAAAACGGGCCCAGATGAGCGACGAGGGACAACGGGCTCGTCTTCACCGATTTTGGCGCGCAAGCTGCCCCCATGAGATCGCGCGCAAGATCCTCGTTTCCATTGTAACCGTGCCGCGCTGGCGGCCGCGTAAGCCACTGCGCAAGGTCGCGTTGCCATCTCGCGAAAGACCCGTTTCTCGTCGTCGATCAAATGTTTTTCGCCGCTCTTGACATCCCAGGGCCCTCTACGGTCCACAGGACTGTCACGAGAGAGCGGCCTGGGACGCGAAGATTGTCTTAGGGAAGGCCCAGGGATCCAGGCCCTGCTTTCCTCGGGGCCCGCTTGGGCTATGCCAAGAGTGGTGGATGCCACGACAATCGGTTTCAAACATGCTTTCGCATGCTTTGGACATGTTTTAAGCATGTTGTAGACATTTGGAAATTAGTTGACAGCATGCCTCCTCTCCATTGGTCGTCTTCCACAAGCCAAGAGGAGCTGCCCGGGGCCGCGGTGCTCCGGAACGTGCGCCTGGCCCGCCTGGTCCGGCTCACGCGCGCTTTCCGCTTGCACCGCATAATCCGTTTCATCTCGGCGCTCCGCACGCTGGTGTACTCGATCGTGGCGACGTTGAAGTCTCTGTTGTGGGCCATGATACTGATACTGATGATCATCTACGTGTTCGGCCTCGCGTTCACGGGGGAGGCGCTGGACTTCATCGAGGAAACGGGCAACCTTGTCCAGCACGATGAGGACGGGGCACACGCTGACATGTATTAGGAGCCCATGGTCCATGGATCTGGCGTGCTGGCGCCAGATCCACGGATGAGGGAGCGCCCCCCCCTAAGAATGAGCCAGTGCCGCCTGGTTTGGCGACCGAGACTGCGGATTTCGCACGGACACCGGATCCGTCGCTAATCAGTTTTTTCGTTTCCTCGAGAGGACGCTCTGCTGGGAGAGTGGGGGTCTCTGGACGTGAGCATGTACACGCTTTTCCAGTCCATATCCGGCGGCGTCAGCTGGAGGGATCCCGCCGCCCCGCTGCAGCGCATCTCAATGCTACCGACCTGCCTCTTCACTGTGTACATCACCTTCGTGTACTTCGCCGTCCTGAACGTTGTCACTGGAGATCGGGGGTATCCAACCGGCCCGCCCGAGCACAGGCTCAGGGGGGAGGGGGGGCCGCATCGACCCCCCAAAACGCCCAGGCATCGCCGATCGGGGCCCGATGGCCCACCACGACAAGGAGCGTGGCCACCGAGGGCCGGGCACCGGTCTACTGGCCATGCGTCGCCGATTCCAGGCAAGTTCCCCCACCCCCTGAGCCAGTCCCCCCTTATCTCAGGAGGGGGAAAAAAACACACAGACACAATTAATCGTCGATTCCTCTGGAAATATGGGGAAATATGGGAAGTGGGGGGGAAGACAGAAACCCAGAAAACACGGGAAAATATGGGGAATATGTTTACTTGTGTGTATTTGTTTGTGTGTGTGTCCTGGGGCCCCTTCACCATCGTTCCCCCTCAGGTGTGTTCTGCAGTTCGGCCGTGGAGACGACCCAGCGAAACCCGGACCTCATCGCCAAGTCTATCATCGACAATCGGCGAGCTGCCACCGAGAAGCTGCAGCAGCTCTTCGGAGCCATCGACGACGACGGGTCAGGTCTTATCACCATCGACGAGCTGGAGTTGATCGCAGCGGACGACCTCATGAAGGCCTATTTCCAGGCCCTCCAGATCGACTTCCGCGACGCATACACTTTGTTCAAGCTCATAGATGCCTCCAACGATGGGGCGATCAAGCTGGACGACTTCCTCCGGGGATGTGAGAAGCTGAAGGGTAATGCTACAAGCATGGAGATGGCCGAGATCAGCTACGACCTGAGGAACATGACCAATCAGATGGCCACTATGCTTGTAGCGCTGGAGACTGTGTGCGCGAAACATATGCGCATCCACGGCCTCGCGGTCTGGATTCCTCGGCCGCGACCCCATGGGTACAGGGCGCCCTTTGCGCGGGTGCCCCGTGCAGAACGTACAGTCTAGCATCTGCTTAGAAACAGCCTGCCGAGAAGCTGGGCCTGTGCTTCTCAACCAACGTATCGGAAAGCTGGCCCAATTTCTTGAGCACGCTCGCCCCTCTAGCGTTGACAGAGCAGGAATTGGCCCACGCTTGTTTCAAGAAACCTCCTGGGAAGCTGGCCCAGGTTTCTCGACTGATCATTTTCTTGATCGCATTATTTGCCGTCTTCTTAGGATCGCGTATCAATGGGATCGCGCCTCGTTGTCCAGACCGCGTGGGCGTGAATATGGATACGTTCGTCGCTCGTGAGGAGAAGCACGAGCGCTGCCTGACCGACAACACGCACGACCTGCTCAAGCCGAGCATCGAGAAGTTGCGCCGGGTCCGAGGCAGCATGACCAAAGATCTAGGCTCGTTGTGATCCATTAAGCCCGTGGCGCGCCTGACCCGCGCAACGGCTCTGCCAGCTTGACTTCCATATCAGTACCCCTATACTTTATGTAAAAGCTCGCACGTGTTGGCAAAGGGGATCGTGCAAGGGTTTGCGCAGGGTTGTGCAGTGGCAGTGTCGTGCAAGTTCTGGGGGTCGACACCCTGTTAGAACAACCTGGGGGGGAATTGTCTGGTCTTTCCTTCTCTCGCCCTACCCTGCATGGGCGGACAAATACATCCATATCCACGCCAATTTGTGGTCCAAGTGGCTGGAACTAACAGGACAGCCATTGCAGCCTCGCCGTACGTTCCTCCTCCATTCGCTATCCTCCTCCTACTCCTTCCTTCTCACATTATCCTCCTTCCCCTCCACCTTATTCCTCCTCTTCCTCCTCCTCTTCCGCCTTCTCATCCTTCCTCCTCCTCCTCCTCCTCCTCTCCCTCCTCCTCCTCCTTCTCCTCCCCATCCTCCTCCTACTCCTCCTCCCCCTCCTCCTCCTCCTCCTCCTCCTCCTCCTCATCACCATCATCATCATCATCATCATCATCATCATCATCATCATTATCCTCCCTCCTCCTCCTCCTCCTCCTGCTCCTCCTCCTCGTCGTCCTCCTCCTCCTCATTCCTCTTCCTTCCCCCTCCTCCTACTCCTCATCATCATCAGCATCATCACCATCACCAGCATCATCATCATCCTTCTCCTCTGACTCCTCCTTTTTCACCTCCTCCCTCCTTCTCTTTCTCCTCCTCCTCCTTCTCCCGCCTCCGCCTCCTCATATACATATACATATACACCGTACAAGGAGCGAGCCAATCCTAGATCGGAGCGTCCTGCCCCTGGTGAGGCTGAAAGGTAGTGAGAGAATTTCAAATGCGGGCAATTATTCCAGCAACAAAATCGAGATTGAAATCTCAAGGCTGCAATACACCTGAGAACGAGACGATTCAGTTGCCACAGCAAAGACTAAAGGAAGTTTGGCCTAGCCTGATGCGCCATGGCTGAGAGAAGCGCGCACCGCTGGGATAGGAGAGTCTGCAATTCTTCAGCATACAGAGCTGAGCTCGTTTGGTGTTATGACAGGCTGACAGTTGGTGCTGGGATCTTCCCGTAGAATACGACCCGCAGACTGAACAAAACAAAACAGCCGCCCCCGTGGTTTCGATGCGACCAGCCCACAGGTTGTGGGGCGGGGAAAGCTGCTGATAATAAATCAAAACAGTGGCGAGGGATCTGGGCAAAGGCGTGCAGGGACCCCTTCAGAACTTTGTTGGGTATGTTGCAGATCTACCGCAATCAATGTACTGCCATCTGTTCAGCATGACTCTGTTAGGGGGTCTTCCCATTAACGGGGCAATTCCCCCTGCCGTGCACCTCCTCTCCCCCCCTGGTTTTCCGCAACCGTCAGGGCTGGAGCCGCTCCATTTTGCGAAGGAGGCAGGGGTGGCTTCCCCATCCCCTCATCCCGTGCGCGCGCGCCTGACATGTGGCTCAAGCTGCCAAGGGTGACCCCTGATTCCTGACTCCTGATTCCACACCCCTGATTCCATGTCTAACCTCCCCTTTCAGCTCACCTCTACTACATTCACAATGTCTCACGCATTGGTTGCACCACTCTGGGCAGGGATGTCGGATAAAGATAAAGGTAAACGCCACGGTGGACACACCGGTTCGACTCCAGAGAAGCAGAAGAAAAAGCGGGATGGAGAACATGAGGGCGGAAACGACACAGCCATGAGTTCGACAGGAGGAGTCTTGGTTACGACTGCCGAGCCCGAATGGTTCAAGGCATTCGAAAAACGCTTGAACTCTCAGCTGAACACGATCACGTCGGACATCACTGAAGTCAAAATCTCAATCAATGATATCAGGAAGGAGGCGAACCAAGCACTACAACTTGCACGAGATGCGCATGGTCTAGTGGAAGATATGGAAGCAGACGTTGAAAATTTACGTGCAGAGATAGCGACGGACTACGTCACGAAGGATGTCTTGAGCCAGGAGCTGGAGGCCATGAAGAAGGACATTCAGGACAAGATCAACAGTACTAATACCCATCAATCAGATCAAGACGACGAGGATGCGGACCAGAAACTACAAATTATTTTCGGGGGGCTGCAGGAGGAAATCCCTGGGGACGAAGTGGTTCAGAAATTGACCAGCATTCTTGGCGAGCTCAACGCCATGGACAAGACCAGCGACATCTTCACCTATAGCGACCCAGGCAACCTCGGCATAGTCCAATCAATAATATGGCCGGAAATATTGGATTTTTACGAAAATGGCGTGGCAGGCCAGCGACATGGGCTAATGGCAACAAGCTTTGGTGCAAGAGCAACGACCCGATCGAGAAAAGGCTAATTGATAAGACTCTCGGCCAGGTCAAGTATCGACTTATCGAAAACGGTACAGACCAGAAAACTATACGCATCTATTGGGAAACGGAAGTGGTGAAGGTCAAGGGGGTCATTGTTGCAAAGGTGGACAAAAGCGGCAATCTAACCACATACGGCGCCGGTGACACTGTCAAGGATGACGTAGAGAAGTTCATGACCGAATGAAAGGCCGCACGCGACCTTCAGTGACGACGACGACGACGACCGCGTACTACTATTCAGACGGCCCGTACTACAACGACGGATGGTTGCAATCTTATCTCCGAACCTCCTTTCCACTCCCACCCCAACCCAAGCACCAATCCCAAATCCGACTCCGACTCATGCTATCGCACTCTCTTGGCACACGTGGTGCCGACGAATTTGGACAATCATGTTTCACCAGATGCGGAAGGACGCGAAGGAACCAACTTGGGATATCCGACTTGCAGTGCTTCGCCGGCATTGGTCTCACCAGCTACTGTTTCACCCAAGCCTTCTCCTCTGGACACAATCCGAACTCAGGACAGCAATAATACAAACAGTTTTGGGACTCCTCAAGGAACAGACCCCCCGTCCACCCAACTATCAGTACAGTATCCTTCTAGAGCACCTGCTTCAGGGCATGGGGGAGGGAGAGGAAAATACAGAATGGTGGATGGAGACATGCCTGGTAAACCCATTTTCGCAAACACCTTTCAGGAACCACCCTCAGGAACTGTGGCTGCGACGATTTCGCCCATGATACAGGATCTGCCCGACGATGGAAGCGGACCACCACATATACGACGATCTGCGGCGGATGGGAACACCTACAGACCATTTGTGGTAATCCATAAGAACATCCGCGGGCTAACATCAGATGACAGATTTTCAGAACTGTTGCGAGAATTGTCGACTTGTGATTGGGACGCCGTGCTCCTCAACGAGACGATGCGCCCGGCAGGCAATGAATTCTACACCGTTGAATGGGGACATACATATGCTGGCTCAGGTGGAGGATCACACAAACATGGAGTTGGTATTTTGTTACATGCACGGTGGACACACCACATCAAACACTTTGTGCCGGTTGGTGCACGCATTGCATACTTGGACCTCCGATGCAAGTCTCTACGGGTCAGGCTTGTAGCAGTGTGTTTCCCTCACAGAAAACACCCCGACCAAGCAGTGCAGGACGTGTATGACGAGCTGTCCAAGATAGTCAAAGCAGGTACACGGGACCGACTACACATTGTGATGGGTGCAGACTGCAATGCGCAAGTTGGGCCTGCAACCGACGAGGACAACAGACGGGCACGTGGAAAACATGCGCACGGCCCTGGTGACCCCAGAGGGCAATCGTTGAAGCAATGGGCAAACACACAACCTCGTCATTACGAACACTATGTTCTCGAAACGCCCCCATCTACTGCCTACATATATTCACAACTCCCTACGCAAGCTCCAAGACAGATCGATTATATTATTACGTCAAGGAGGTTTTGGTACACAGTGGTGGATTGTGCTGCTTCAACATCGGTGGACATGGGTTCAGACCATACAGACGCTACGCTGCGGAGCAATATATTGAAGAAGCCAGCCGATGCTAAACCACGATGTGGAAAACGGAAGGCTACACCTACAAAGACTATGGCACAGAAATGGCCCCCCCATGGACGAGCACACTTACGTAGAGCGTCTGGCAGAAGCCCTCGATCATGCAGACGACGATTCGGGAGTACAATGCAGATACGACTACATATAAACATCGATTCAACGATGCATGGAATATCCAACATCAGATGCTGGAAGAAAGACGCCTACTGTACCACCGCGCCCTCACGACACGTTGGACGATTTACTGCGCCAGCGCAAACAGCTGCACAACGTGGACACGGCCTTGCGGCGAAAGCTCAGCCTGCAGATCCGGAGAGAAATACGCAAGCAATGCAGAATCACCAGACACAGCAAGATCACAACAATTCTTAGCGAGTTTCGGGGGATAAACCCCATATCTGGGATCAAAACTGTAAAGAAGAAGGACCTGATTTCTTCGATGCAATCAACATCTGGCGAGTCGGTGCACGACAGAAAAGGCATAGCTGATGTTTTTGCTGATTTCTATGCGTCGTTGTACTCACAGACTGACGGGATGAATTCCGCCTTCAAGAGTTACAGAGCAGCAGACGATCGCAGAGTACCTGCTTTTACGGATGAGGAATTGGTTTGTGCTTTACGACAGCTTAAAAGTTGAAAGGCTCCTGACACCAACGGCATAGCAGCGGAGATGTTGAAGTGCGGAGGGGAATCCCTCAGACAGGCTTTACGGCGCCACCACGCCGCAGCAATGGAAACACACTCAGATCAGCGTGATTTTCAAGTCTGGCGAGCCCGCGCTGCCGCAGAACTACCGTCCTATTTCAATCATCCCACTCATGTACAAGTTATTTTCTCGTTTACTATACAATCGATTGGAGCCCACACTGGATGCAAAGCAGCCCCCTTCTCAGGCGGGATTCCGACGGCATTTCAGCACAGACGACCATTTGTTGACGTTCGCCATTGTCCAGGAGAAGTCAAAATAATTCCAGCTCCCACTCTGGGTTGCGACCTTGGATTTCAAAAGGGCATCC